CACTCCTAGGGTACACTCTCACTTGGTTGCCTTCGGTAAACGATCATTGAGTATAGGGTGCTATAGTGGTCGTCCTTTTGTCCAAAGATCAAAGTTGCCTCGGAAAGGTTTCCTCGGATATAGTTGCCTCGGATAATTGATCTAAGACATTAGGGTTATTACCAAGACGTCCTAACATTGCTTTAGTGACCGTACGTCCCTTTCGAATTGACCCTCAAACTCCAACGACGGTGCTACCTACTCACTAATAGTGGGATAACGCTGTCTAAAGGAAACAAACATAGAACGATTCTTTTTTTCGAGTAGGTAGATTAGCCCTTAAGTACTTGTTCAAACAAAACAACTTTTTCACACTTACACTCCTTTTCAAACAAAGTTTTCAAAAAACACTTCATTACACTCTTGAAGACAGAAGCACGAGTTAAGTCGAAGTCAAAACAAAAGCTTTTCAAATCACACAAACACACAAAGAAGCAATTTCGAAAATGATGAACAAGTACCTAAGAGCCCGTAGATAACTACGGATAGAAAGGGTGCTAATACCTTCCCTTTCTATAATCTACCCCCCATACTCAGAAATATCTCGAAAAAGGAATTTTTCTGTGCTTTTTTCCTTTCCTTGTTGGATAAAATAAAAGTCGGTGGCGACTCTTGCTTATTGCGACATTTTGCAAACACAAACGCAAAATGCGAACTAGCATTCCTAAAAAAAGTCTCGGTTCTGGCCACCGTATCACAGAACTGAGGACTCTGCTGGGGAGTTAATAAGTGGGGTGTACCTTAGGATTAGTTCATCATATTGTTTTCTAATGTTTGATTTGATTGCTTTATCTTTGTGGGATTTGTATCGGCGTTACTATAGATCCTAACCCGGATCTGGGGGATACCTTTTAGGTAAGTAGCAATAGACTGTGAGGGAACTGTACGGCGTAGACCAATACGGTTGAAGCAGTAGCTACGTTGATGTGGCACATTAGTTGGTACCGATATCCCTTGTGGAGAAACAAGGAGAGTATGGGGCTGCTATATGGGTCATTAAGCATCAACTGACCTTAGAACCTATAATTGACCAACTTGGCCATAGGAAGTAGCAAAATGCTATACTCATTGAGACCATACTCTCGCGATGGTTCCGCCTGCAAGAAAAGATTGTGTGAGCTGGAACTATGACCGATGGAGGATGGTCAGTGATATTGAGAACCTCTAGAACCCGGTTACTATTATTAGGACAGGTTGAACAACCTAAACTGCAAGAGGGTAGTACCTAGACTCCATGCAAGCCTAAACTTAAGGGCTATTATGTGACTTGTTTGCCCTTACCATGTTTTCTATCTGTGATACCTGTGGTGTGTTTTTATCATGACATCATGCATCATGACATAGCATGCATTTCATCAGACTAACCATTTCAAAGACCGAGGGGATTCATCTTTGTTCTGTTTTGCACATCATGGCTTCTATGTGTAGAAATACCATTTGAGTCAACTTCGTGCAGATCCCTGCTCAGCTCAGAGTGTTGATTTCAAAAGTTCCTAATACTTCTTCTTTTGTTAGAAGACATGGTCATCTCCTTAGCCTGGTCACTTCCAAGTTGGATGAGCAAATGATGAGCGTGTTGTTCCAGTTCTTTGATCCATTGCATCACTGTTTCACCTTCCCGGACTATCAGTTAGTCCCTACTTTGGAGGAGTTTTCTGATTTACTAGGCATATCTATTCTAGAGAAGACACCCTTTACAGGTTTGGAGATAGCTCCTAGGCCAGAGGATATTGCTTCAGCCCTACATCTAAAAATGGCTGATGTAGTTTCTAACTGGGAGACTCAGAGTGGGGTTAAAGGTTTCTTGGCAAAGTTTTTGATCGATCAAGCTCAACAGTTCTGGGATAGTTTGGACTTTCAAGCATTTGAAGACATCCTGGCTCTCCTCATCTATGGCTTGGTTCTGTTCCCGAATCCAGATTCTTTCATCGATGTGAATGCAGTCAAGATATTCATGTCTCGTAACCCCGTGCCTACTCTTCTAGGTGATATTCTACATGCTTTTTATACCCGTACTGTGCGGAGAAGGGGAACTCTCATGTGTTGTACACCGCTGCTGGCGAGGTGGTTTATTTCGCACCTCCCCAAATCTGTATTGAAGAATGAGGAAGGTGTAGGTTGGGCTTACAGAATCATGTCCCTTGCTCATACGGACATCCTTTGGAGTTCTAAAGACATGGAAAGGGTAGCTGTCATTGATCGATGTGGGGAATACCCTAATGTTCCATTGCTTGGAATTCGAGGGGGTTCAATTAGTGTGCCCCTCGGCACAAAACACATGCCACTCGGCACAACCCAAAAGTATGTGTTCCACACGACACACAAACCATGATGCTCACCACAGCTGTCCAAAAGCGTTATTTCCTCAATTCTCTCCACGTCTCCAACAAAGCAGCAATATTTTCTCTATGACTGGTTCAACCCATGACCACCACGTCCTAGATTTTTTGGAGAGAGTCAGTTTCAACGTCCATGCATTCCAGATTCCATGACTTCCTAATTAGTCTCCAACAGAAGTGATACAGAGGCTATATAAGATAAGCGCTTGTGCAGTGAAAAGGGTTGGAGAATTTTACCTAATTTTATTCTATTGTTCAGAACATTTGTTTAGAATTTTAAGCAGATAATTTCCTACCTAATACAACAACAGTTTTCCACACCGGGGAGTTATTGCACCATAGATTTTTTATTCAGAACGTTCAGAATATGTTTTAAGTTTTTATTCTTCATGCATTCAAGTTATTTATTTTCTTCAAAGCAAATCCCGCCGGCATAATGTGGAGGGTTACTTTTTGGTACTAGAAGCTTGTCATTATTTCCAGTTATTTAATTCCAGGTTCTTATTTGCATTTTCATTAACTATTTTATACTTAGTAATCACTAATGTGTGCTTACTATTATTTTATGTTGGTACGTAATAACATGTTTGGCTAACTTCCCTGATTCTGGTATGTAAGGTCATAAATCGAAGGAGTTCGGTAATAATTTCGCATAAACCTTTTATAAAATACTTTTCTTGTTTGATTTCCAATTTTATCATTAAAATTATTTTGTTACGAGAGTAAGAGAAAAATGAAGGCTAAAATAAATAATCACGAGAGTGTGAGCTTTTAATCAGATAGTGGTAATCAAACATTAGTTTTAAATACAGCGAGAGCGGTTTAGGCTTAATTAGATTCTATTTGTTTTCAAAAAGTTTTTTTGGATTTTAAATGAGACAACGAGAGAAAGAATTTAAGTTTAATTATATAATCCGAATCAATAATCACGAGAGTGAGAGATAAAGGTTTTTAAACTGATAGTTTCTACTGAACAGTGTTTTGAATACTCAAAACTATGCCAATGATTTACTGAATTCCCAAAGTTAGAATATTATGCATGGGTGTTCCGTTATTAAATATTTCAATTAAGTCTAAGCTTATTTTCGTCTACCCAAAAACCTAAGATTTATTATTAGCCTTAGCATCACACAGTAACTTTAGATAGCAGTAATTCGATTATCAGTCCTTATGGGTTCGATGTCTTTTAAAACTACGCGATTAAACTGTGCACTTGAAGTTAATACACCCGATAGACTCTTAAAGTCGCGATCAATTATGCAAAATGGGAAGAAAACACCTAAGGGAGACTAACCTATCTCTAACCTAGTGTTATCATACAATGATGGCCATATGGTTGAGTTTTGAAAGGGAAATCTCTACCATATATTAGCATACATGGATAACTATCCTAATGTCTAGCTCAAAAGCTACCTTAATCGAGCGAAACTAAGGGAACATACAAAGATTGAAGTCATTATCTCAATCCTAATTGACTTACATCATCGATCGTTAACAAAGAAAAATGAAAATCCTAAGAGGAGCATGCAAAGATCGAAGTCGTTATCTCAATTCTAATTGAGTGACATCATTGATCATCAACAAAGGAAAATGAAAATCCTAAGGGAGCATGCGAAGATTGAAGTCATTATCTCAATTCTAATTGAGTGACATCATCGACCGTCAACCCATGAAAACAAACACAAACACAATCAACAAAAAAGTGCAGAATGCCTGCTAGAGGTCTTTAAACAGCGACTTCGAGCGCACGCTCTTTATTTCCTACTTCTCATGATATCTAGAAAGCAATAAAAATGCAGAAAGATAAATTGGAAGCAGCATAATACCAAACAAACAATAATGTCCAAAAAAAAGCGCAACCAAAGCAAAGAGTCCCGGAATACTTCACGCGAGCTAGCATTAACAAACAAATAATCAGTGATCGAATGCTCAGAATAAGTATCAAGGCATCATCAATGTGAAAATAAATCACAATCGGAAACCCAAGCATATCCGCCTAACAGAGAAGGTTTGTTGCCTCTTCGAAGCCACACAAGCAAAGAGAAAACTCTACAGAAGCTGCTCCACACAAGTGACCAAACGAATTAATCTCCAAGCATTTCACATCACGAAAGTCGCATCAATACTATCACCAACATCTTGGTTAAAAATGGCAACCAAAATGATTACCAAGCACGGAAAAATATAGAAAATTTGAATTAAAATCCTAAAATATTCTAATATTTTTGTATCATTCATCACAAAATTTTATCAAAATTAATGACAATCAAAATTAATAGGAAAAATAATTAAAATTCTATACATAAGGGGTGCTAAAACAAGATATGAGGTGTGAGACTTAACAACCATGATTGCAAGCAACAATTAAGCCCAATCCATAATCAGCCCTTTTTTACAAATCAAAAAGCCAACAAAAAATTTCCCTTTAGGATAAGGACAAGGATGGGTCGGTTCATACCCATAGCATCTATCAACCCATTCTCAATCTCATTAATCACCAAAATTTGTATCAAAATTATTGAAAATATTAACAATTAAGAAGAAAAAGATTAAAGAAAAAAATAAATAATTAAGAGACCAGTGGATACGGTGCGTTTAGATCTGTGTTTAAGGTTCAAGAATATGACTTTTCATCTTCCACAAACACAAACTCCTCCCTCCTCTCTTCTCACGACAGTGCAAGGCCTTCTCTTTCATTCCCAATCAAACTCATCCGCCGTACCAAACCTCTGTTCGCCGCGCTATTACCAGCAAACTCTCTTCCCCTCTCGCGAAACTCGATGGTGCATCTTCATCTTCTCTTCCCTTTCAGAACCCAGTGCGACGAAACTATCTCTCTCGATCCATTCTCAATATGTCCTCCATACTTCCGTCTCATTATCTTCTTCTTCATTTTGCATTCATTCCTCCACCATAGAAAAACATTATGACACCACACGCCACTTCTAGAGGTGATAACTCAGGAAAGCAGTTGATGTAGAGAAACAAAGATAAGTGGAATGTTTTGTCTTACCTACCGGAAGAAAGCTCGGGTGGATCTTGATTTTAGCGATGAAGCGAAATCAAGAGACACTGATTCAGGTAATAATTCGCGATTCTCTGCACCAAACCTTCTTTTCTCTTATGTGTTTCCGTTATTCTTCTTGCGTTCTGGTTCTGAATTGTGGTGTTATTGTCGTTCTTGAGGTGATGATGTTGCTTGCGTTTAATGAAACAAAAATGATAAAGCAGGGAGGATTGCAGTGAAGTTTTGTGATGCTAGATCGAGAATGATGCAGATGCTGTGATGATTTGGTGTTGATGATTAATCAAAGATGATGGTTGAGGATGCAGAGCATTTTGAAGGTTGTTGAGGCTCGAAGGTTAGTTGTGGTGATGATGGTGGATTGTTTCTACAGAATGAAATTAGAGAGAAGTCGCAAAAGGAGTTTTCAAGTAGAAGAGATTGGTGATTGAAGGTTGAAGAAGATTGAAGAAGGAAGGTTAAGATGATCAAGGTTCATATATTTTAGAGAGAGAAGAGTGAAATTTGTTGGTGATTTTTAGAATCAATCGTGATCCAATGAAGACGCCCCCTGAATCTAAAGAAATATTCTGTTATATAACAACCAGAGTTTGTTACAGTTAATGCAATCTTGACCTTTGATCTATTAGAAGAATCCAGAGCTGAGATTGAAAGTTTTCCTCCCTAAAAAATTCGATTATGAAGCTTGTTAGAGAAGTTTGCAATTTTGCTAAGTTGTCCAACTTGTTATCAAAGTTGCTCTTAAATTCCTTATTTATATATATATATATATATATATATATATATATAAGGTTTAATTATTCTACCGTGATTCTCATGGCTGCTAATCTATGTTTCATATCTTCATCATTTTCCCTGTTATCAAATGTAAGACTTGTCTTTGTCGTGAAATTAAATCCAAATCTTCCATATTTGCTGAACCCACACTCATTGCACAGAAAAGAGGCCAGATTCTCATAACTGATGTTGCGACACTACTTGCACTCATATGCATTTTCATGATAGGTTCCACATATACTATGCTTATCCACGACTGATTTGGTATTGGTTAGTAATGCACTATTTTTGTGTTATGCAGGTTTAAAGCCTCTTCTGAACAAGCTCTTGACATGGCATAAATAATGGTCATATATGGCGTACAAATGCTCTAACAACTTGAAACCAAGATGGATAAAAGATGAATGAACATGGATGTGGAGATGAATAAGAATAGGTCTAGGATTAGGCTTAGAACCAAATTTTTTGTGTGATTGTGAATGTGGTTTTGGAAATGAACGATGAACGGTATATTCTTGTAATAATTTTGGATATAATGAAACATAAAAATGAATTTTGGCATAAATTCCATACTTGGAATGATTGGAAATAGAATTTGAGCTTAGCATGGTGAACCAAGTTGAACATGAACTTATACCTTGAGAAATTTGAAGATTTTGAATGATGTAACTTGTATGCCCAAAACACTCGAATCATGATGAAGGCTATAAACCATCTGCATCATTGATGACATATTGACCTTATGAACTTGAAATTAAATGAACCATAATGATGGACTTGAATTTTGAAAATGGATGTTTTTCGTGAATCTTGAACATAGTTAAAACCTGAATTATGAATGAATTATTTTCAACTTGTAGTTTGTCTCCAAATGAACAACTCTTCCATCTTTAAAATGTGAGTTCATTTTGATAAATTGGATCAAAATGACCACTTCAGTGAATTTTTTAACAGAATTTTGATTAATTTGATAAGTCTTCAATTCCAATCTCAAATGATAAATTCAAATCATCTTGCTTCTAATTTCAAATTCTCAACATGTTATCTTATAGCCGGAGTAACAAAGGTTGTCTTGATCAAAATAAATTCACCAATTCATCTTCGTATGACGACCCAATTTAATCCATATAATACCTTGACTTGTCAAAGTCATTTCCTTAAGGATCTTTATAGAAGATAAGGCTTGGAGTATAGAAAGAAGCCTGACCACCAAAATGTCCTTAACACGAAACCCTAGTAACCTGAGGAATCTTTGCCAAGAAAGATATCAGTGTTGTTCGTGATCCAAAACCCTAGTTTTCTTACCATAATGATGAGAGCATCAATTGAATTTACCTGATAAAAATAACAACCTCAATCCCTAGGGAAAAGCCCTAATGTCATGAGCCCTTTGATCCCATGCCTTAGGAATCGATGATATGCATGAGATGTATATGATGTGATGAGGTATTTTAGGGGCAAAAATTGGGGTATAACAGCTGCCCTTATTTAAGTTTCTTGTATCCGGAGATACGAAGGTAAAAATATCTGTCTCGAAGCGATTGGAGATACTTAAATATAAAACAAATCCTATTGTTGTAACCTAAAATTTTCCCTCCCATTTTTCTTCAAAGACATTCTCATGAGGTCCTCATTTGCTCAAGTTGGCTCAAGAAGTGACCAGACAAATTCTACTTCTAAGCAATGGGTCCACAACTAGGGTTTTGTGTTTCGCAAGGAAGATTGGGTTCTCAAGGACTCAAGTGGTTTTCATGGTTCTTCATATGTATTCAAGGATGCTCATGTCAAGTTTCAATCCTTGCATCATAAGTTTGCTCAGTCAATTGCTCAGATGACTAAAAATCAACTGTATTAGGTAAAAAGTCAATTGTCGTCAACATAAAGTCAAAACTCAAGATTTTTGGTCAAAATCAACATTTTAAAGTGATATTCATCATTTGATCAAGGTTTTATCATGATTCCTCAAGAAAAGTCCTCAAATCATCAAAAGTAAAAAGTTGCCAAATTAGGGTTTCCGTAGGAGAAGTCAACTAAACTTTGACCAAGCATAACTTTCACATGCTTCATCACCTTTTCACCAATCAAATAACATTTTAAGGAAATTAAATTCTCTATAATTCTATCTCTTTAAGCTAAAGTCCAAAAAGTGCATCATTTGAGAGATATAAGCCAATACATTACAGGTCATTTCAAAAGTCAACAAAAAGACACTTTTTTTCAATGCAACTTAGATCAAGATAAATTCTTCAAAAGCAAAAATGATCAACATATAGGTTGTAAAGGACATCTTGATCTTTCTAAAAAGTCTAATATCACCTTCAAAAGATAAAAATTTAGTGAGTTATGACCATTGAAAGTTGGGGAATTTTGAGCAAATGCATGAAATCTCAATTGAGAAAATTTGTGACTTTGGGCCATTGGGCCTAACTTCTTAGGTTCAAACATTCTCATGACATATCTAAGTAACTCTAAATACATTCACTCATTTTTGTGATTTTTATTTCTTTTTATTTTTTATTTTTTATTTAAATTCAAAATAAAATCAAAATAAGATGCAAGGTTAATGAGTTAGGCGTGCAAGGCTTTTATTTCAGTTATATTGGAGGCCAAAAGATTGCATATACAAGATGGTAAATTTGTGCAAGGAAGATTGGTACAAGATTGATAAAAAATAGCAAGTTTTCACATAATTCCAAATCAAATCTTTTTCTCCTACTCATGCATGATTCTTTCAATTTTTGTTGACCTAATCTCATTGTCCTATATATATCTAACAAGACCAGACCAACAACACACGTGCAAGCTTCCTCGAAAACCCTAGAAAATTCTCAAATTTGTTCAAAGAATTAGGGAAAAGAAAAACCCTATTCTCCAGCCACTCTCAAGAAACTTTGAGCTTCACATCACCTTCCTCAAGTTGTCAAGAGTTGATACAGACCCTTATCCATCGCGAAGCAATCCCAGAACCCTTCCTTGCGTGAACTCTGATTTAGTAAGTTGGTGAGTTTTGATTTTTAAGGTTTAGAACTATTTCAATCGTTGTTAGCGTGCCAGCATAATTCATATGCATTAGTAGGATTTTTCTAAAGTCTTACATGCGAGTTTGGATGTAGAAACAGGATCGTGCCATTGTTAGGGCACGAAGCTTTTGAAGCTTCAGATCTCACGATGTAGGCAGTTTTAGACCAAACTAACCATACTACTGAAATCACAGGGCCTTGATTAGTCAACTAGGGTTGTTTTCTTTTTCGTTTTATTTGATTTCATAGGTTTTGCAAAAAATCTTGGCCGAAGAAGAAAGAGTTGACCACCGACGGTGGTGGTTTGACTCATATGCGTTTGTTTTATATGATATATCAATTGATGCAATTATATGAACGAATGTATCACCACCCCAGTCGTTAAAACACGCGCGCTAAGTCACTCCTCTCTCAGGTCATGGGTTCGATCCCCGATTTTGCTATTTTTTCATATTTCCATCATCTTTGCAGGTTCGTTACAAAACATGTTGGAGGCGTTACCTTGACACCAAGGCGCGCTTGGCCTGGATGTATGCTTGCTGCTGAACCTGCTTGAGGGCGTGGGTTCAACATCCACCCCTACTCATTTGGTTATTTATTTTTCCAATTCTATGTTTCTCACTCTTTACTTCTTTTTCTTTTACAAAAACCTTTTTCTAAAACCCTAATTTAATTTAATTTTAGGTTAAAATTAATTTTATGTTTTAATCAATTCTATTTTTAATTAATTTTAGGTTTTAATTAATTCTAGGTTTTAATTTAATTTTAGGTTTTAGTTTATTAACCTTAATTTGAGTTTTTTAAATTTTCTTAATTAACTTAAAATCGACCTAGATTTTAGGGTTTGCCTAATTAATCGATTCTTTTTAATCAACTAATTATTTTTCTAAATTAAAATCAATTAGGTTTTCTTTAGATTAATCATCAAACGATCACAACACAGTTTTTAACTTTCTTTTTGCTTTACAATATTCACACATTTAGTTTCGCATTAGTTTTTTTCCGATTATATAACTTCTACATTATGTAATAGTTTAATTAGGGCTTTTATTTGATTTACTTTTTCTCCCCAATTTTGTGGTTTTGTACCCCCTTCCCCGAAGCCTTTTAATAGTTTAGGTTTACTT